CACCTTCCTGGATGCTGCTGCTGCTGCTGCCCCAAGGCCCCTCTCCCCTCCTCTCCTCTGCCACCGAGCATCCTCCTGGGCTCCCATCTCTGTGCCTTTATGGAAGAAATACATAATTCTTTTATTATTCAATTAGGAGTTTAACACACAATCAGGTGATCGCTTTAAGAGGATTTCCTATAAGGCAGGATTTGAATAACGGGGCTATGAGTAATATATTCCCTTAACTGGTTTATTCCTTTATCAGATTTTTTTTTTCCCCCTAAGCACTTTAATGCATTTACTTTCCCATTGTCGACACTTTTCTCCGAGCTCTTCCTCCCTCCCCGAGCTTATGCAAATCCCCCTTAAGGCGTTTAATGCTCCGTGTGTGTCAATAGTGCCCAAATCTTGGCGGCAGCATTAGGGCTTCATGCATGCCCCGGCTGATTAAGAGGGGTGGTGGGGCCAGCCTGGCTGCCCAAACCCCCTTTCCAACCCCCACCGTGGGGCCTCTGCGCTGGGAGCTGCATTTTTGCAGAGAAAAGGCTGAGCTGAAAGTCGCTTTTCTTCTGCAGGGTGAATGGGGAGCGCCGCGCTGACCTGCCCGCCGCTGTTTGCCGCCCTGTCGCTCACATCTGCGGCTGTGTGGAGGTGTCTGCTGCCAGGGGGGGATGGATGTGGGTGGGATGTGAGCAGAGGAGGAAGAGGATGGAAGGAAAATAACCCCTGAGCCGGTGTCAGTGTTGGTTTGTGCACGCACAGTCCGGCCTGTGCGGCAGAGGATGCTCAGGGTGCCTGCTGGGAATGGCTTGGGCATCACTGGCAGGAAAAACGGGGGTGTGCCCACTTTCTGTGCCACCAGGGGCTGGGGTCGTGTCACCCTCGTGTGCTGTGGGTTTGCTTCCCCTGAGGCAGGCCCTGGGGTTTGTTTTGGGGGGTTAAGGAGCCCTTACAGACACAGGTGTGATGTACCTGGGTACTGGAGGCTCAGGGGATGTGTTTGTTTGCCTGCTCACCTTGGTGGAGTGTTCACTCTGACACCTGGGCAAAGGTGAGCCTGGAGAGGAGAGCAGCAGTGATGAAAGGAATAGCAAAATGGGTTGGCCTGGAATTCCTGGTTTTCCCACTGCCTGAGGGTTTGTGGCTGTTGCTGAAGCCCTTCCTGAGCACAGCACAGGGAAAACACTCCCTCCAAGGGTTACTGTCACCATTTTCTCCTTCCAGAGAAAAATATCTCTCAGCCTGGGTCTGTAAACAGCCCGGTGAGTGGGAGGGGGCTGGACCAGCCCTTCCCTGCGTTGTTTCCTCCACGCCCACCACTGATTGTCTCCTTTTTTATCCCGTCCTGCCACTCCGCCTGTGCGTGCAGCAATTATGCAAAATTGCAATCAAGGAGCTGAATTAGGAGCTCATCTTGGATTAATTAGTGATGGATGCAAATCTGTTCCAACAAAGAGGAGCGAGGGGAGTGCAAAGGCCATGGCTATCCTCCCAGGGTTTCTCCAGCTCTCCCAGGCTGGTTTGAGGGCAGGAGGGATGCAGTGTAATGCCTTGCAGGAGAATTGGGGCATCCACGTGAAAGAATTTGGTTCTTGGCCTTGGGACAAGGCTTTGGGCGCCCCAAAGCTGATGCTCAGCTCAGCCCCTGCATCTCCCTGGAGGTTTTAAACCCAGAGCTTTGGGCTTAGAGCATCTCCTCCCACCCCAGCCTCGCTGCAAAGCTCGGGGAAAAACCAGTTAATCCCCACGGCCTCCAGTGCTGAGCCCCTGCCAGCGCTGGGGATTTCTGTTCGCCTGCAATCGGATTGTGACAAACCCCTCCACTTGCATTGAACAAATTCCCCGGCTACTCCCTGCTCCTTGCAGGCCCCAGTAATCCCCTGAGTGTGACTCTGGCCAAGAGGCAGCATCCCTGATTAATCCCCGGCGTCTCTGTGCAAAGCTGCTCTGCCGAGGATGCTCCTGGGCTGGCACGACACGCTCGGCCGGGCTGGGAGCAGACCCAGGGGAGGAGGTAAAGGATGCAAGGCTGTTAAAGGAGCTTCTCCAAGAGGGGATTGCAGCCTTGAGAGCAGCCTCTTCTTCCCCTGAAGTGGAAAAGAGGGATGTGCAGCACTCCTGGGAGCTCTGGGGGTGGGAAAGGGGGGTGCAGATGTTTAATGTTTCTTTTCCTGCCCCCTCTCAGTGTCACCCACCCCAGCTGGTGCAGAGGGGACACCCACAGGGCACAGAATAACCAGGGCAGCCTGGCAGGGTGAGCACAGCTTGCTTAAGGAGCTCCTGGCTCGTGGCTGTGCCCACAGGCATGGGGACAGTAGGGACAGCCCATTCCCATGGTCCCCAAGAGTTTAAAGCCTTGGCTTGAGGCTTTTGGTGTGCAGACAACTGAAAGGTCTCTCCTTCCTCTCCCATCTGCAACAGCAGTGATTAATAAAACCTGACTCGGCTGGAAGGGCAAGGAGAAAAACAACAATACAGGACATTTCTGGAGATGGTCCTAATCCAGCATCTCGGAGCCAAATGAATCAGCAGCTTCTTATTCTGCCGGCAGGATTAGTGAATGCTCATCCAGGCTCCTGGGGAGTGAGGTGAGGCTCTGCATAGCAAGGAGAGATGTGGCCACAGGGTGTTGGCTGGTTCATGGAGCCAAGCAAATCCCTCCTTGTAATCCTGCAAACACTGCTGGGATGCACCCACTGGTGCTGGGAGCCATGGGACAGCAGGGAGAGGCAGGAGAAGGGATAACTACCCCTAAAAATCTGCAGTGGGGGTGAAGGATGAGGCTGTTGGATGTGGGGTACAGACTCAAGGCTGGGGCTGTGTGTAAGGGATGCCCCTCATGCCACAGGGACCCCCATGCCACTGGCTGGTTTTCCTGGCTGTTAAAGTGGGTCAAGCAGAAACCCAAGGAGCATCTGAGCTCGCCAACCTTGAGCCAGCTATGTGGGAGCTGAATTATTCAGGGCCAGCTTAAAAAATTGAAGAGCCCAGCAAAGCTCCAGGAGAGCACAGCCCATGGGACCCCCCTACCCTTGCCAGGCAGAGGCAGCTCAGCCGGCCCATGCTCAGGGGCACCTTGGGCGTTTTGGGAGGGGGGACAGCATTGTTTGTGTCTAACACTGCCCTTGGGGATGGAGAAAAATCCACCAGGGTGAACTTCTCTGGGTGCTTTCTCCCTGTGTTCACTGCAGAGCTCCAAGCTGTAGCAGTTTCCTTGGGTATCCCAGCATGGCTCTGTCACACCTACAGCAGGAGCAGCTGGAAGGGAACCCCCTTGTCCCCTGAAATGGGGATCTCTTCATTGTGTGGTTTTAGAGAGGAGGCTAAAACTTGATTTTTGCCAGCAGGTGTTTGGCTGCAGCATCTCCCCCAGGCTTGGAGAGCACCACATCCTCTTGGGAGCTGAGGTGCTCCCCTCAGCTTGGTCATCTCTGAAGGACCATCCCTGCTTCTGCTCCTGGGGCTTTGGAATGGGGAGAAGCAGCTCCAGGGGGAATCCCTGTGGTGAGTAATGCTGCCTGGCGAGCGCTGCGAGAGGCGGGTGCCCATATGCTGCAGCTCACTCTGCTCTTTTCTGGAGCACTCTCCCTGTCTGGGTGCCAACCAGCAGCACACACGGCCAGGGATCCCCTCCACACTCACCCCACAGTGGCGTTTTACATTTCTAAGGTTCCCTGAACAGGGTGATGGGGTCTGGTGTAGAGCAAGGGGATGTACCCCAAGGCGAGTGAGGTGCTTTGGGATTTTACGGTGACGCTATGAAATTAGAGCTGAACAAATGTGCCAAAGCAAAGAGCCCAAAACAATCCCCGTTTGCACCAGAGGGCCGGGCTGTGCAGGTGCTCAGCCCAGAGGGGAGCAAGGCAGGCTGAGCCCCAGCTCCAGGCCGTGCTTGGCACAGCAGTCAGGTGCACTTGGAGCCAAACTCCGGCTATTTCAGCCAGGGAGAAAAGATGGAAATTTCCACCTGGCCTGTTTTCTTGCCTGTGCTGGGTTTGCAGGAGCCCCTTTCCCCAGCCCCGCTCCCGGCAGCAGGAGGTGGTGCAGGCGCCTGTGTCTCTCATTTCCTCCGGCGCCCGCAGCAGCAGCAGCGCATCCCCGGCCCCGCTCGCTGAGTTACACAGCGCAGCAGCGTTTATTGACTGCGAGGAGATTGTCATTCACGGCCAGGCCTGGAGCAGGGATGGTTCCTCCTCTCCTTCCCGCTGCCTCCATCCTCTCACGCTCCGGGGCAGAGCCCAGGGATGGTCCCGCAGGGCTCTCACCCTCTCGCTGGGAGGGGGCACCTGCTGAGCCCCCCCTCTGTGCCTTGCTGCTCCCGGGGAAAAGCATCAGATCCCCGTGATGGAGCAGGGATGGATAGAGCCTGCAGCCTGGGCTGGGGACACCCACGAGGTCCCTGCCTGGGTCACCCACCCTGGGGACACGTTTTCTCCCTTTAGTGGATATCCACACTGCCCCATTGCTGACTCCCTTCCTCCTTTGCTTCCATTCCCTGGTTTTGGAAGGGAGCAGAGACACTCTTGGCTGTTTCCTCAAAAATCTGAGGGATTGCTGTGTTCTGTTAACCAGAGCTGCCTGCCATCCATCCATCCATCCATCCATCCATCCATCCTGATTCCATCAGCCTCTCTTTGACAAAACCCTTCACAGGGCACGAATAACCCTTTAGCTGAAAACCTCATGCCCTGAACTAAATTACCGGGGCTTTCTTCCTAATTAATCTCTCTTGGCAATTAGCACCGGCCCTCGGAGATCCCTCCAAGGCGCCTCTAGCCGGTACCTACAGGCGGTACCTACAGTCGGTACCTACAGGCGGTGCCTGTGGCCGGGGGTGCGGGCGGGCACCGGGAAAGCCTCTCCGGGGCCGGGGGGCTCGGGGGAGGAGCGGGGGGCGGGCGGGAGGCAGGGCCGGGCCGGGGGAGGCAGGGCCGGGCCGGGGCCGCCCCCGCTCCGCCGCCGCCGCGCTCGGTGCCGGCCCCCTCCCGGCGGAGGCTCCGCGATGGCGGGGCCGGGGCCCGGCGGCCGCCGGGGCTGAGCGGGGCGGGCAGCGCCGGTGCCGCAGAGCCGCCGATGCGGACACGGAGAGGTAAGAACCGACCTGTTGTGCTCGGCCGGGGAGCGGGGGAAAGGAGGGGCAGCCGCCGCTCCGAGCCCTGGCCCCGCCGAGCATCCTCCCGGCTCCCCCGAGCATCCCCGGGGCGCGGCCGGCCGCTTCTCCTTCAGACAGGGACGCGGGTTACCGAATTCCCTCCGTTTGTGGCAACTTCGCCGCTGGCAAGATGTCGGGGGACCCTTTTGCGGGAGCAAAAAGCGCTTTTGTGCCCTGGCAGGAGGGCTGCGGTGCCCGGGGGGCAGCGGGGCAAGGGATCCTCTAGGGTGAGACCCCCCCAGCCCTGCCCGCGATGGGGAAACGCTGCCACCGCCACGCTGGGGCCACAGGGGCGGCACGGTGTGAATCCGTGCGGGCAGACGGATGTGAATCCAGCGGGAGGAGAAAATCCAATTTACGGCAGAGCAGGGATGCTCGGGGGAGCGAGGCGGGGAGCGCCGGAGGCCGGTCCAGCGCCGCGGCCGCGCAGCGCATCCCGCACCCCGCATCGCTCATCCTGCACCCCGCACCCTGCATCCCGCATCCCGCACCCTGCATCCCGCATCCCGCATCGCTCATCCTGCACCCTACATCCCTCATCCCGCACCCTGCATCCCGCACCCCGCACCCTGCATCCCGCATCCCGCATCGCTCATCCCGCACCCTGCATCCCTCATCCCGCATTCTGCGCCCGCATCCCACACCCCGCACCCCGCATCCCGCTCCGCTGCCGTCCCCGCCAAGTTTGGGCCACACACAGTACGTACGAGGCTTTTCCAGCTGGTTTGTTCTCCAGCTGGGATTCCTGCTATGGAAAAACCCCGTAACAGGCTCTCCGGCATCCCGGGAGACGCTTCCCGCTGGGTTTTGTTCCCTGGGGGGCAGCAGGCACAGGAGGTGCAGGTGAAGGGTATCGCGGGCAGCTCCCCTGGGTGGAGCGGTGCCCCAGGACATCGTGCCCTGCTGGGGTGCCCTGCTCTGGGATGGGGGTGTTGGGGTGAACCCCAGCATGGGGACAGAGGGGGACCCCATCCCAGCATTGCTGTGCCCTCAGCACAGCCCCAGAGCCAGGGCAGTGCTGCCCTGTGCACCCATCCCTGCACGAGAGAAGCATTTTGGGCTCCAGGAACTCACTCACAGTGTCTGTGGGCACCACGTTTGCCCCCATCCTCAGGGCCCAGCATCCAGCACATGCTGGCAGCTGGAAAAGCTCTCTGCTCCTGCAAACGCCGTGTCTGGCAGGGAGACCACAGAAATTACTGTCATTGATTTTTCCTGCCTTGCCTGACTCAACCTGCAGCCTTGGAGGAGATTTTTCACCATCACCACCGCCCCTGGATGCCAGGGAGATGTGCAGGAGGTGGGCTGGGGACAGGCAAGGAGTTCAGAGCAGCCCCCTGGGGCTGAACCACAGGGATGAACCCTGGTGTGGATGGCTCTGGCGGGGTCACTGGAGGATGGTGGATATTTGGAGAGCTCATTTTGGGATGCATTTGGTGTGATGCTGGGGTCTCTCTGGCAGGTCCGTGCTGGCTCTGATTCCCCTAGAGAAGCAGATCTGAAAATTCAGAGTCAAACTCCATCTCCTCTCTGAAAGCTGCAGGAGTGTGTCTGCCTGGGCTGGCAGCTCTGCCCCAGCCCCAGGCACCAGAGATGCTGAAGAGGGCAAAAAGCAGAGCAAATGTGCAGCCTCGAGGCAGCCAGGACCTTCCTCACAGCCGCCTTCCCTGAGTGGATTCCATCCATTAATTTCCCTAATTGCTTTTGGATATCACAGTGGCATTTGTCTTTGGGAGCATCCCAGGGAGGTGCTGAGCCAGGCTGTGCCTCGGGGGTGGCTCCTGGGGGTTCCCCCCAAGCACTGCTCACCACCCCAAAGCCAAACTCCTGTGGGTCCCCCACGAGCACTGCTCACCACCCCAGAGCCAAACTTGGGATCACATTCCCATAAAACTCCTGTGGGTCCCCCACGAGCACTGCTCACCACCCCAAAGCCAAACTTCTGCTCAGAACGTTGGTGATCCCATTTGCCTGGGGGGAATCTTCTTTCCAGGTGGAAAAACCCATCAGAACTGCGAGGTGGAGAAGGCTCAGGGCCACCCACGTGTCATTGTCCCTTGCAGACCCCTGGCACCACCCGGGGGGATCTGTGCACACGGGGGTGTCCCTGTCACTGCTGTCCCTCCCCTCAGGTGGCCAGGATGGGCTCGGTGGGTGCTGAGCGCTTCAAGGAGCTGAGCCCAGCGGTGACACCCGAGGGGAACGTGGTGATGAGCTTCAGCTTCGACAGCTACCAGCTGGAGGAGGACGAGCTGCAGCGGGGCAGCCAGGCCAAGGGTGTGCTCACCTTCATGGAGCCAGGTGAGGCAGGCCCGGCCCAAACCAGGGTCCCTGCTGGCTTCCCACCCCCTTAGGAGCTTCCTGAGATGGGTTTAATAGCCACAAACAGCCTGAAATGCCACAAAATGCCCACTACCCTTTTTCATCCCTTTTTGTACCCGTGTGAGCCACCAGCACATCCCATGGCAGTGGGATCTGCAGCTCTCCCAGGCTGGCAAGGAGTTGAGGATTGGTGCCCTGGTTGTCCTGCCAGGCTCATCCCCAGCCTGCAGCTTCATCTTTCTCCATTCAGCACTCAGGGGCACTCCTGGGATTCACCCCAGCCCTGCCCCACATCCTGAGGCAGCCCTGTCCACCTCCGCAGCCACCTCTGACCCTTCCTGCACCTTGACTTGTGCTGTCACCTGCACTGCCTGACTCTGAGCTTGTTTAACTGCAATTAAAACTCACCAGACCCCCAAAACCCAGATGTTTTCCTGACTCTTGGGTCTCCACTCAAGTGTCTTTATTTAGGGAAGGAACTTCTCAGAGCTGAGGCTGTTTATTTGTGCATCTACAGGGAGCTGAGCTGTTTCATTGCGACAAGGCTGAGGTCTCATGTGGGTCCCAGGGGTGCAGCAGTGCCACTGTCACGTCTTTTTCTCTTTCTTTCCTCTTCTGGGGCAGTTTCTGAGGAGCCTGAGCCCCAGGATCGATACCATGGGATTTATTTTGCCATGCTGCTGGCTGGGGTGGGATTTCTCCTGCCCTACAACAGCTTTATCACCGATGTGGATTACCTGCACCACAAATACCCAGGTAGGTCTGGAGCAGCTCCAGCACATCCCTGACACCCCAAACCTGGAGAGAGCTCAATCCCACTTCCAAGGGAGCTGAACTCCTGTCCCCCCATCTACTCCTTCTCTCCAGGGACCTCCATTGTCTTTGACATGAGCCTCACCTACATCCTGGTGGCCTTGGTGGCCGTCATCCTCAACAACGCGCTGGTGGAGCTGCTGAGCCTGCACACCCGGATCTCCGTGGGTGAGTGGGGTCCCTGCACCCCCAGGCAGGGCTGTCCCCGTGCTGTGCCCCTGCCACCACCTCTGTGTCCCCCCCACAGGCTACCTCTTCGCCCTGGGGCCCCTGCTCTTCGTCAGCATCTGCGACGTGTGGCTGGAGCTGTTCAGCCGCAGACAAGCCTACGCCATCAACCTGGTGGCTGTCGGGGTGGTGGCCTTTGGCTGCACAGGTATGGGGCAGAGCAGCTGGGCTGGGACATGCATGGCAGGTAGGGGAGGGAAACAGCCCCATCCCTGAGCCGTGATCTGCTGGGAAAACCTCCTGCTCTGCTCCCCGTAACCCTCAGGTCCCTGCCCCATCCCATCCACCTCTGTCCGGGCATTTGGGACTGACCAGGGGCACCAGCACTAAACTGCACATTGGTCACCAACACCACTGATCTGGGCCACCATGGTGACATGCCAAATCCCCACACCTGGTGGCCACTCTGGGTGGGAACAGACACAGTGGAACATCCAGGGAGGGGAATAAAGGCCCTCCTGCTTTTGGAGCAAGGAGGCTGCTGGAAGGAGCAGCTCCCAGCTGGCACAGCTCATGGGTTCCCTCTGGGGTTTCTTCCCCCTTCCCGGAGTTTCGGCTGCAGCAATAATCCCTCCTTCTCCCCTCTGTGCCTCTCTCCTGAAGTGCAGCAATCCAGCTTCTACGGCTACACGGGGCTGCTGCCCAAGCGCTACACGCAGGGAGTGATGACGGGAGAGAGTAAGTACCCACGGCCATGGTCAGTACCCACAGCCACTGAGCGTGTCCACAGCCCACCACAGGGACTTGCACCTTCTCCTGGGGCCCCAGTGAGCCACACCTGGGGCCCCAGCACAACCAGCAGATCAGGGTGCTCCCCAACAAACCAGGGAGTTTACTGGTTTCTGAGTGCCTGCACTGCCATGCCAGGCCGGGGGTGAGGATGCTGAGGAGATTTATCATCCCAAAATCACTGCTGGTGACTCCTCTATATGGGGAAGCATCCCATCCACATGGTGAGGGGTGATGAGGATCCCAGAGCTGGGATTCAGGGGGGCCCAGCACTGACAGCTCCCCCCACACCACCAGGCACCGCCGGGGTCATCATCTCGCTCAGCCGCATCTTCACCAAGCTGCTGCTGTCGGACGAGAAGGAGAACACCGTCATCTTCTTCTTCATCTCCATCGGCATGGAGCTGACGTGCTTCATCCTGCACCTGCTGGTGAAGCGCACGCGCTTCGTGCGTTACTACACCGACAGCAGCTCCCGCCAGGGCCTCCCCGAGAGCCGTGGCGCCGGCGAGCCCAGCTCCGGCTACCGCGTCCACCACGACGTCACCTCCGAGGACGTCAGATTTGTAAGCCAAGTGCGGGTTCCCCTGCTGTCCCCGGGGGTTCTTGGCCGCTGCACCTCAGCGCTGCTGTCCTCTCCTCCCTCATGCAGGAGAACCGGGAGCAGGGGCAGCCGAGCTCCCCGCGGGGCAGCCCCGGCCCCGAAGCTGAGCTGGCTGGGAGTGGCACCTACATGCGCTTCGATGTGCCTCGGCCTAGGATCAAGAGGAGCTGGCCCAGCTTCAGAGGTGAGTGGTGGGCTCGGGGGAAAGCCATGCCCGTGGGGTGGGATAAATAAATGATGGTGACCCAGTGTTACGGGGAGGATCATTCCCAAGGCTGCAGAGGGACGTTTGAAAAGGGCATGGAAGAGCAGGACAAAGGGAAATGGTTTCAAACTGACAAGAGGACAGGATTAGATGGGATATTATCTACAAATTCTTCCCTGTGAGGGTGGGGAGGCCTTGGCACATGCTGCCCAGAGAAGCTGTCCAACTGAAAGTGTCCAAGGTTAGGTTGGATGGGGCTTGCAGCCACCTGGGATAGTGGAAGGTGTCCCTGTCCATGGCAAGGGGTTGGAACTGGTTGGTCTTTCACAATCCCTTCCATCCCAAACCATATGTGATTCTATGATCCCTTTCCTAATGATGTGCCCATAACCGTGGGGCAAACTCATTTTTGGAAGGCATCCCTGTGGGTCAGACAAAGCTCTCAGGCTCTGCAAGGGGCCTGGGCTGCAGTTTTGGCTGAGCTGTGCTGCCTGTCCCTGCCAGACATGCTGCTCTACCGCTACGTCGTGTCGCGCCTCATCTGGGCCTACATGCTCTCCATCGCCATGACCTACTTCATCACACTGTGCCTCTTTCCCGGGCTGGAGTCAGAGATCCACAACTGCACGCTGGGGGAATGGCTCCCCATCCTCATCATGGCCATCTTCAACCTCTCTGACTTCGTTGGCAAGGTAGGAGAGAGGCCAGAGCCAGCACGGGGGGGTCTGTCCTGCTTTGGTGCCCTCTTTCTAAGCCATTTGGCTCCACCAAGGGTCATCTCCACCCACGGGGGTCTAACCAGTGTGAGGCTGGTGCTCACCAGCACAGCCAAGGTTGGGTTCCCACAGCAGTTGGTCTTTCCACCATCTCATCTCCTTGTTACCCAACTTTGGGCACAGCGGGGCCCTCCCCATCCTCCTCATCCCCCCAGCAGAATCTCTGTCCTCACTGCAGATCCTGGCTGCCCTGCCCTACGACTGGAGAGGGACCCACCTCCTCGTCTACTCCTGCCTCCGCGTGGTCTTCATCCCCCTCTTCATCATGTGTGTGTACCCCAACGGGCAGCCCACCTTCGGCCACCCCGCCTGGCCCTGCATCTTCTCCCTCCTCATGGGCATCACCAACGGCTACTTTGGCAGCGTGCCCATGATCCTGGCGGCGGGCAAGGTCAGCCCGGAGCAGCGGGAGCTGGCAGGTAGGACTGAGCCCTCCTGGGAACCCCACTGGTGTGCCCAGAGCACCCTGACACCCCATTTCCCTTCCCACAGGGAACACCATGACCGTGTCCTACATGACGGGCCTGACGCTGGGCTCGGCCGTGGCCTACTTTGCCTACAGCCTCACCAGTACCTCCCACAGCAGCTGTTTCTACACTGAAACCTCCAATGGCTCCTTCACCTCGGGCTACTGAGCCCTGGGGTGGGGCAATGAGGACAGGGTGGGACCTGCTTCCCCCCTGGTCCCCAGCGCCCCACATCCCTCCTCAAGGAGGGAGCCTGGAGCCTGGAAGCCGCCCCAGCATGGACAAGGACTGGTATCCTGTTGGCACAGGGCTGTGGCATTCCCAAACGGCCTGTGCTGCCCAGCCAGGCACTGTGCAGGGCCACTGCTTGGGGTGACATTCCTCCCACCCCAGGGGACAGTTCTTGTTGCTTTTGGGGGGGTCTCCCCATCAGCAATGTGCAGCTCTCCAGTGAAGGCTGGGGATCTGCTGTTTGCGCCAAGCCATTGACAGGAGGAAGAAAATACTGCCAAATCCCAAAGGGAATAGGACCAGCACTGGGGAGGAGGGTGATGGAGGGCTGGTGAGGAAGAAGAGGAGCAAGAGAGGAAGGAAGCACTGCTTCAGTCCCCCGTGGCTCTGGGAAGGTGGGTCTCCACTTCCATTGATGGTGCTGCAGGTTTTCACCAGGAATGGCTTGAAATCACAGTCCCTCCCTAAATATGCGAATCATATGGATGGGGAAAAAAAGATTTTTTTTTTACTGTGTCTTGTTTTACCCCCCCCTAACTGCAACAGAGGCAGGGTCTTGCCTCCCCCCACTCCACACTGTGAATCTGCTCCATTGCAAGGGGTACAGGGGGGGTCCCAAGGTTGCAGCACTGCCAGTGCCACCTGCAGGCCACTGCTGAGCTTCAAGATTTATTGCGCAGGATGTAAGTGAAGCTGATTAAATAATTAAGTGTCTTTGCAACAATGGCTGGTCCTTAGCTGTGCCACACACAAGTGTGTGGGTGGCATTTGACTGCTGGTAATGGGCCGGGCTGGCAAACACACACAGGGTGGCACCTGCTGCCTGTCCTGTTGGGTTTTGGGGTGCCCCTGGTGCTGGTCTCCATCTTCAGGGTCCCTTTGTGAGCTGGGGTGGTGGAACACGTCACTGGGTTACACCAAACCCCTGCCAGCCTGCAAACTGCCGTGGGCAGCACACAGGAGAGGGAACAGGCCAAGAGGAGCAGAAAACATCAGGAGAAGGTGCCAACACCACGTTTTGGGACCAGCTGCACCTCGCTATGCCAACTGGCGGATGCCACCTCCCACGGAATCAAGCCCAAGGAGCCAATGAGTGCCAGGCCTGGCCCCGACCTTGCCCCCACAAAATGGGAGGGTCTGGCTGCGCCAAGCTCCTGCCTGTATGAAGTGCAGCTCACACCAAAAAAGAGCAAATCCAGCATTTCATCCTCAGCACATGGTGCCCTGGGCACAGTGGCAGGGGGAAAGACCTCCAGGCCCTGTGCAGCAGACACCTCTACTCCAGTGGCCAGTCCTGTGCCATTGGTGCCACCACCTCACACAGATGGGTTCTCCCCAAAAAGCCACCAGGCACCTGGGTTGTATCTTTCTCCAGGGCAGGGGCTGAGCCAAAAAGCCATCATTGCCACCAAGGGGAGAAAAACCCTGCGGTCAGGACAAGCGAGACAAAGAAAGATGCTTCGTTGGGTTGCTTTTTTTCAATTAGATTTTTTTTTTTTATGAAAAAAGATCACACGGAGTTCTCCAACAAACAGAATGCCAAAAAAATTGTTTTAAACAAAACATAAACAAAACAAAACAAAAAGACAAAAACCTGGCTCTCCTTTCCTCTCGATTGTCTGAAATATCCTTGTGTTCCATAGAAGGCAGTGGGTTTTAAGTGCTTTCTATTTAACATTAGCATAAAATCTCTCTCGCGCGCTCTCTCTCTCGCTCTTTAAAATATGCTCACACAATTTGCTTCTAGAAGTACAGTACACTTTGAGCGTGGGGGGTGTGCCTGTTCCCAGATCATTTACAATCACAATCCAACAGGAAATAAAAAATAATATTCTAAACGTCAGACTGTGTTCATTTCTGCCGTTGTGGGTTTTTTTCTTTTTTTGTTTTTTATAATTTCATAATTTTTTTCACAGTTTTAAAAAGTTTATATTTATATATATATATTTATATTTATATTTATAATTAAAAAGTTGAATCCATTTAAAGACTTATAATACAGGAGGGCTAAAGAGTCTTTTGGTACATTAAAACTGTACAGGCTAGAACCGTCACTGTCCGCCGTGGCCCGGGCTGGAGATGGTACGAGCTCAGCACCATGTGTGGTTTGTTTAAAGGACGAGGGGTAACTCTGTGGGGCTGTCCCTCACCCCTGAGCCCCGGCCTCCAGTCTCTGGTATGTAGCCAGGGTGGAGAGTTTCCAATCTGTCCTTGGCTTAAGCATCGCCCCGCTCCGCGTCCCGGCGATCCGTAGTGCGAGTCGGGAGTTGCAAAGATCAGTGCGTCTCTTGGAGTTTTGTTTAAGTGCAAGGATGGTGCGTCGTTCTCCTCAGGTTCTCCTCCAGTGTTCCCTCTTGCCAGGTGTAAGCCTGGAGCAGCAGTGGCGGTGCCCAAGGGGAGCTCAGCCCCTCTGTGGATGGAGGCAGCTGAACGGCGCAGTCCCTGAGCCCCAGGTGGCAGCGGGCTCTGGCTGTGGGAGCGCCGTGGGCAGGCACAGCTGGGTTCACACACTGCCCCCATTCCCTTCAAACCACGGGCAAGGCTTCCCAGCAGCTCCACATCGCAGCACAGGCAAGGCATGGCAGGTAAAGCTGGGTGAGGGATGCCAGAATCCAGTGGCCTCTGCTCTTCTTTCCTCCAAGCACCAAGCAGCAGCTTTTCCCAGTTTTTTCCTGCTCCATCACTGCAGCTTTTCCCAGTCTTTTCCTGCCCCTTCACTGCGGTTTTTCCCAGTCTTTTCCTGCCCCTTCACTGCACGCTCCAAGATGAGGTCTCAGTTTGCCACGTGTCACCCCCTTGCCACTTGCTTGCTCCCTCCTTCGCAAGGCAGAAGGGGTGCAGAGCTGCAGAGGGTTCAGTTTGTTCAAGGCAGTGGGAAGAATGCTTCCAAGACTGGATGTTGGCTCCTCTTCCACCTGGCTACTCCCAGGCCAGAGGATTCTCTTCTGCCATCTCTGTGCTGGAGCCAGCCCTGCCCTGTCGTGCTCCACACGCTGCCAGAGGGGCCTCCAGGGAAAGGGAACAGCAAAAAGGCGCTGAGAGGATCGAGACGAGGCGCTGAGAGAGACTCATCTCCTTTCTCTTTCACCCTGTCCTTCCTATAAAGGGTCATGCGAAACTAAGCAGGAAAGGGAATATAAGGACGGAGAGGAGCGCACGCTGAAGGCAACAGGGTCCTTCCACGTGCGGGCGGCTTCCGAGTTACTGATGGGGAAAAATGACACAAAAGGGATCCCTCCTGCCGGGGAGTCCCGCTGGTGAAATGATCACGAGACCCATGTGCTTTCCTGGACCAAAAGGAGGAAGGGAGAAGTTGGTCAAGTGTCACCGTACTTAAAAGCCACTTCCAGAAGAGCCTCGGGGTTCAAGCACCACCACCACCACCCCAATGGCATCTTCCTCGAGTCCTGTAACTGCTTCCCCAACCCCTTTCTTCAGCCTTCTCCTTCCTCCTCGTGTCTCTCGCGCTCTCCTGTCTGTAGTGTGACACAGAAATGAGCATTGAAAGAAACAATCATGTCGTCTGAACAGGCACGTCCTCAGGTTTGTCCCATCCCTTCCCAGGGGCTGGCACGTGTCCCCTGGGCGGTCAGCAGATGACAGGGACCCCATCAGTGTTGAAGATCATGCCCGTGGTGGGCTCGTAGGTCCCTGCAAGGTAGTAGAGGTCCTCACTGTCTTGGTATTTCTTTGTCTTTAGCATCTGCTCATACTGATCCAGACCAACAACAAGACACTTGTGTGAGATGGTCTGGACATCATTTTCATCCACGTGGGAGGACTGGTAGAGGGCTCTCTGCACAACAGGAAGAGAAGGAAGGAGGTGGGGAAAAAAGGAGCCATTAGATCACACAGCATTTAAAGCATCATTTTCAATAAGTAGGAAAAACACTCATCATAATGGGGTAGGGACTCTGCTCACACTCAAAAATATCTCACTCATCCCAACAGCCAGCCCAGGGGAGGGACACTGGGAATATGCACAGATCCATGGCTGGACAATTCTTCCATCCCACTGAACCTGAGCCCTGGCTTTCACTCGACTCCCGCTGATGGGAATGTTGCAGCTGCCAAGCACACATACAGGGAAATATGGAGGCCAGGAGTGTGCCATCCTCATTTCAAGGATGCAAATGCAAAGATGGATGCTGGATACCAGCTCCCTGTTCTTCCCCACACCCAGCACCTGCAGCTATTCCACCCACCCAGAAATATGCACCCCAAGTCTGGGGCACTGCAGACTTGGCAGCCAAGGCAAAAATCAAGAGCCAGAGAAGTCTGGGGGGCATTTCCAGTATTTATTTGTTACAGGGTACCCAGCATTCCCTCCCAACCTTCTCCCAGTCTCACCAACCTCCATAAAGTCCTTCCTTTGGTTGGATGCCTGCAAAGCTGTGGCCAGACTCCTGCCTGATTTCTGATCCCAGCGCTGTGCCCAAGAAGAAAAGAGGAAACAGAAATGAAAAACTGGTGAATTTGTTGTTTTTCCATGTCATCATCTCCTGCCCACCACAAGTGCTTTTGGACCTTCAGCCCCTGCCCACTGCCACTAGGAATAAATCCTGCTGTCAACCAGCTGCACACATGTGCAAAATTCAGTGTTTCTGAGCACCAAGCCCATCCTTCTTACACTTTAAAGATTTGATCTGGATCTTGACACTTTTTTTGGACTCACACAAAAGTCTTCATTTCCTAATACAAAGAAACCCACCCCTCCCTTCTTCAAGGGCCCAACACTGGACTTGCCCACACCACAGAGGAAAACATGGGGCCACCCCCTTCAAGGTACCAGTAACGAACTGGGCTTTGGGTGTTTTCCTCATCGTTGGAAACAAAAGGGAGCAAGGAGCTTTGCAGCCCTCTCAGCAAAGGAGACCAGCCTACCTTGCCTTCATTGAGTTTCTTCCCAGGGTTGGTTTCTTCTGGGTGATAAAACCATTTGACTCTGACCACCATGTTGTTGCCCCAGGACTCCCACATGCTCTGGATGCGGCCGATGTAGGGCAGGTTGGGGCGGCCGGCGGAGAGGAAAACGGCGCAGTCTCCGATGCGGATGATCTCCTTGCCCCGCACGATGGCCTTGTAGAACAGCTTCCTGGCCTTCCCTTTCATTCCTCGTCTCTGCCAAGAGAGCATCATGCAAGTGGTCAGCCAGGGATCACCCACATTTTCCCTACAAACCAATGTCTGCCCTCTCCTGCGTGCATCCCTTTGCTGTTGGCAGTATTCCCACAGGAATTGGGGCAGTGGGATACACCACACAGAATGGCTTCCCCAACACAGTGAAAGCCAACCCCCATCT